AGGAACTGACAGAAAATGCAGACAGTAAAAAAATAGCACAACAATGAAAAATATATAGTATGTGTGTGCTCACACACAAAAACATACCTATTTAATACCTATGTGAACAAACGGTAAATGATGTAAAACATTTCTGAACTTCTGAAAGTGCAGACATTGTATTTTTATAATTAAGGATGTCTGACTCAGAAAACTCCTTTAACTGGGCAGCTACAAAGCTCTGCAACACAGCGCTCCTTGCTGAGTCAAAGGTAGGGCTCACACATACAGATTTGCCAAAACCTGCCTTCCTTAGCCAGCAGAAGTATTTCAAGCTAGAATTCCGCATTCACGCATTCAGACTCAGCTCTCGTCATTTATGGCAGCCACGTACTTGATTCTTGGAACAATTACTGGCTCCCAAATTTTCAGTAGAACAGTGTCCTCATTTCCAGTGGGGAAAAAAGAAATAAAAATATATATCTTTACACATCCAAAGGACATTACCCATCCACTGTCCACACCCTGGAGCTTGATTTGGAGACATGAACACAGCCCAACCCCACTGTAGCAACACTACATAACAACCCGCCCAGGGATAAGCTTACAGAAGGGATAACACTCACCGTTCTTCTTGTTTACAACACAGGCTTTACTTAGTGTGTCAATATACATTTTTAAAACTGCAATTCAAGCATTGATCAATTTGAAGTAGCCTCCTCAAATCTCCTTTCAAACACGTTAGTATTTCCATTACACTCCTTTAACATGGCAAAGTGTAAAAACATATTACAGACAATATCATGGTATAAAAACCCAATTTCTCTAAAACTCATTCCAGTCGCTATACTAGAAAGTTTACTTCAAATCCTTGCCCAAGCATTGCTGCTTCTGTATCGAATATATTCAACCTACACATTTTATTAGCTCTTCCTGAAAAAGTTACTCTCCAGCAGTTGATGGGAGCAGGCCACCTGCCTCTGCTAATTAGCAGTACCATGCTCAGTTGCAGCTCTACAAGAAGAAAATGGATTGGCTCTTCGGCTAGCGCATTTTGTCCTAGAAGACCAGAAGATGTTCAATCTGTGTCTTACTCCCTTCAAAAAGGCTTTAAAACTTTCTACACCATATGGTATCTCAGATGAGTGCTACTAACCTATGGCTAAAACTCTCACATTTCCTAAATCTTCTTACAAAGAATCCTGTAAAACTCAACCATTCCAGACAGATCCATGATTTCAGCACTATTTAAACACACAATTAACATTTTGAAATAATACACATGGATAAAAACTGGTATCATTAGTCACTTATTAATCACCTTCAAAATAGGCAGCATGTTCATTATGTTAATGGCCTTGGAATGTTTAAAGCAACCCTTTGCATTTGAAGTGGAGGCTCTTGGTAAAAGGTGGCACTTAATAAGAAATGGCAATTACTGAGGCATGTTTCTCTCCAGAAGACTGCAGTATGAATTATAATATCTTCCTGACAATTTATCATCTAAAGCTAAGAGAGACATTTTAGTTTAGTAGCAGTACGAAGCGCAGTAAAAGTGAACACCAAAAATAAGAGACGACACTAATCTTCTCTGAGTTTCAACTAAGGCCCAGCACCTCTGGATTAAAGGCTTATTTTAATGAAAAGCTTTAATTAGGCTTGCATGTGTATAGGATCACCTTAATGAGATATGACAGAAATATAAGAGACAGCAAACACTATTCTAAAATAAGCTTATTAGCAACTTTAAGGAACTCAGTCAAGGATTCCTAAAAAAAAAAAAAAATTAAAATGTAATACAATACCGAAAAATGCAAGAAAACTGGACCAAATTCAACCATAAAACAGTGAAACCAAAATAGGTTCACGAGAGGTATTTTTCAGTATCTTTATATTCAAACTGATGTATACTAATGATTTCTCTACACATTAAGGGGTTTATTTTTGCAAATATTACAGCAATTAACTAAATTTCATTTAAATTTTAGACAGCAGAAAATCAATATTTCTACTGTGTTTGCTAATTAAAGTTAAAAACCTTTAAATGTTTATATTGTAAAACATCCCTTTATTGTATTACTGAGTGAGGCTCGGTGTCAGGCTAACTTGCAAGTTCACTTTAAAAAACATTATTTCATCTTTTTACTCTTGTCTTCAGAAACAATCAGTGATTTAATGTCATTTTAAAGATAGCCACTTCAGTTGCTTTTTATATCTTCCCCTACAGCACACGGAGCTATTCTCATTTGCAGATTTGACTTTAAAGTAATTACTTATAATTACAGAGAAGTGCATCCAGTGGATTAATCACTCCATTTATATGCTGCTCAATAGACTACTCTCAGGACAGCCTCACTGCTTTTACTCAGCAAAAGTCAGTTCCACAAGAAAACAAATCTCTCAAGTCAGTAGCAGCTGAGAAGGACTATGACAACTATTAAACCCAAAAGATTAAAGAAATGGCACACCTGGATTTGAGACAGAAGCTGTACCTATCCTCTTCATGGGAAATAAAGGGCCGCCAAGTGAGAATAACCAGGAACATGGCCAGAGGAAGCCTACACCCCTACAAGGGGCTAAAAGTACCTTCCCACAGTTCTGGATCTGAAAGAAACACATTGGTATTATTAAAAACAAGGGCAGCTTCTGGCTCAGGAAGCCCCACTCTGAGGCATGGGAAGTCCCTGGAGGAGCTGCTGTTGTGCACTAACCCCAGCAGTCTCCCTGAGCCACTGGCTTTTTGCCACGGGCAGGGACACTAGGTAGCAAAGATATTTGGTGTGATCCATACAGACAGCACTCATCTGTACTCTTTGTACAGGATTATTTTTATTTTTTTTTAAACATATAACAGTTGCCAAAAAATCCAGCACACCCAGGATGGCAGTGACGCAGCTTCCCTCAAAATTCAAAGCCACCAGTGCGTAACTTCAAATGGGCTACTCTGACTTTGCTAAATGGTGGGCAAATATAAACTCCCACCCCAGCCGGCCATGCTTGGCAAGAGGTGCAGTCACAACTCATGAAATCATTGCCTTAGAGGTGTTTTTCACACCACAGCAAACCAGGACTGAACTGATCCCCACCGGATCACAGATCAACAGCCAACTGGGGCTAATGCAGCGCAAAGTGTTCATCACCAGCCAGGGA